ACTGATGTCACATCTACACAGGCTGACAGCATTTAAGTAATTCCATATTAACTGTTTAGAGTTGAGACAATTTACCTCACATTCTATTTTGTTAAATATTTTTTCAATGTTGCCAAATACTCACTTGAAATTTGTTTTTTATTTTTAATTTATCCTTCTTTGATTTCTCAGGATCTTGAACAGTTTTCACGTACGTGTTGGCTAATGGCTGTTCCTGCTCTAGGAATGGCCTATTGTCCGTCATCCCTGGGGTCCGGGCCTTTTTCTCAGTGATTTTCTGGGTTCTCTCGGCAGCAAGAGGGACACTTTGCTAACATTGGTGCAGCATTTTCTCCAATTCCTGCCTTGAGTTTTGATTCTGTTTTATTACTTTCCATGTTAAGAATTTAAACATCTTGCCGAAACCGGTTTGGCTCAGTGGATGGAGCGTCGGCCTGCGGACTGAAGGGTCCCAGGTTCGATTCTGGTCAAGGGCATGTACCTGGGTTGCGGGCACATCCCCAGTGGGAGATGTGCAGGAGGCAGCTGGTCGATGTTTCTCTCTCATTGATGTTTCTAACTCTCTATCTCTCTCCTTTCCTCTCTGTAAAAAAAAAAAAAAAAAAAAAAAAAAAAAAAATCAATAAAAAAAAAAGAATTTAAACATCTTTAAGGTAATGAAATGCACACTGAAGTTGCCTGCAATGACTTACCATCAATCTTAAATCTACCCTTTTGGGGTCCAGTAAAAATGTTTCCACAGGTTTCTTCTCCTGCTCCTCTTCCTCTTGCTCCTCTGCCTCTTTCTCCCCCTCCTTCTGCTCCTCATCCCCCTAATCTGTATTTATTGGGCCTGGTCTCAAGCAGGAAGCACACATATTCATGAGTCCCAGACCCTGCCCTGAGCTCAAATGTCAGCTTGAAAAGAGAGACAATTATAAAATGACAGGAATCCCAATAACAGGCCGGCTTCTTTTGAGAAGGAGCGGGTGGCTCAGTGAGTGTCACTGTGAGTGTTATAATGAGTGCTGCCCTGCTCCTCCCTCTCCCTCAGGACTCAGCCCCAGGACCTAGGGAGTCCCCTGTCTTTCCTGCTTCCAGGGGGACCATCTCTGTGTTCCCAGGTGTGATCACATTCCCAGCACTTCACACCCTGAGTCCCATCTCCCCAAGCTGTTCCCCAGTTTCTCACCATGACTTTCCTTATGTTCTCTCTCCATATGTGATAGACAGCTGACATATAGTGACGGCTGTGTTCCAGCTGCTGTTGTACATGTTTCAGGCCCATTGGTCCTCATATGTCCTTAAGCGGTGAGTTAGTATTATCACCCCCTTTGCAGGTGAGGAGCTGAGCAGAGAGGATCTCCCAGGATCAGCCAGTAAGAGGCACAGCCTGGATGTGACCCAGGCAGCCCTGCTCCAGAAATCACACTGGAACTCACACACTCTGTGCCTCGCAAAGATTTGCAAACACTTTGATTAAACAATTAGTAACTGTTTCAAGACATGAAAAATCCCTCAAATTTCCTCAACGTCTCTCAAATCCAGTGGCCCGGGCTGTAGGCAGAGATTCAAGTCTCATGGCACTACCTCCTGCGGGGCCACAGGGCGGGTTTGAGGGGGGCCTGCCTGGGCCTGGAGTCTGGGACAGGAGATGAGGTTGAAAGGGAGCCACCCAGGGGCCTGCCTTTCTTGCTCACGTCTCCCTCTGCCTTCTCTGTCCTAGCTGAGCCCACAGTGACCGTGTATCCTGCAAAGACCCAGCGCCTGCAGCACCACAACCTCCTGGTCTGCTCCGTGAACGGCTTCTATCCGGGAAACATTGAGGTCCGCTGGCTGCGCAACGGCCAGGAAGAAGAGGCCGGGGTGGTGTCCACGGGCCTGATCCGGAACGGGGACTGGACCTTCCAGACCCTGGTGATGCTGGAGACAGTTCCCCGGAGCGGGGAGGTCTACACCTGCCAAGTGCGGCACCCCAGCAGCACCAGCCCTGTTACCGTGGAATGGAGTGAGACGCCTTCTGACCTCACACGCCTCCCCTCTCAGAGGCCTTTGCTTGTCCCTGAGGGTCAGGGTCCCCTCTCTCCACACCCCGTTTTCCTTTGCTCATGTCTCCCCTTCAGCACAGGCCACAGGGTAGCCCTGTGATCGCTTCTGTGGACACCCATAGCCCTGGGAGGCCGCCATGCCTGCCCTGCTCTGAATTCCCCACACTCTCCCCATCATGGTGCCCCTTGGCCCTGGGCACCATGCCCTGTTGGGATGGGCAGGTGCTTCTGCCTGCGCTGAGCTGCCCACTGTGATCTGGGAAGAGGCGTGTCCTCCACAGTGTGGGGACCTTCCTGCCGCGGGAGAGCCCTGTCTGCTCTGCAGTCTGTGGCTCTGTCACCCGGGCCAAGTAATGAGGGTCACTAGTCTCAGGCTCTGCAGCCTCAGAGGCCGAAGCAGTGGCTTTGGATCGGATGTGAGGGGACCTGAGGCCAGTGCCTGGGCCTTGTACCTGCTCAGTGTGACCTCAGTCTCTTTCCTGGAAATGGCAATTGTTCTGCTTCTTCTAGGGCAGCTTCCCCAGTCGCCAACCCCCCTCTGCCCCACAAACTCTCAATCCTAGGGTCTCCATTAGAGAAGTTGCTTTGTGCCAAAACCCACTGAAACCAGCTTCTTCTCTCAGGGGCCCAGTCTGGATCCGCACAGAGCAAGGTGCTGAGTGGAGCCGGGGGCTTCATGCTGGGGCTGATCTTCCTCGGGGCGGGGCTGCTCATCTACTTCAGGGCTCAGAAAGGTGAGGAGCCTGCTGGCAGCTGAGGCCCCGAGATGGTGGGGAGAACTGGGGCTTTGCTGGGTGAGCTCTGGGTATTGCAACGCCCTAGAAGCCTCTTTCCCTGTCGGTCTCATGTTCCCTGGAAATGCAGAAATAACCAGCTCCCGGTTCTTAGAGTGGAGACATGAGGAGTCATGGCTGTGGGGTTAGAGAGGGGTTAACACGCACGGGATTTGGGTGCAGATCCTGGGTTACATGGAGGAGCAGGCCCTGTGGTCCCTAATGACACTGGATGTGACGGCTTTGGGCCACTGCTCTCAGCTTCTGCTCTTGTCCCTGCTCTGGTGTCAGCGAGTGGGGGTGCTGCTAGAGAAGCTCAGGTGGCCTGGGCGGGGACCCAGTGTTTGAGGTCACACTTTCATTCCTATATTTTAAGTATCATCTTCCTTCGCTTCCCAGGACAGTCTGGACACTCTGAGGGCCCTGTGCCCTCCCCTGGCTCAGGCCAGGGACACACCACGTCAGTGCACCTTGGAGGTGAGCTGTTGTTCATTCTAATGAATGAGCTCAGGCTATGGGCGTTGATCACTGTGGGGACCATGGAAAGGAGCCAGGGCTCAAGCTCCCACACACATTTATTCAGACGTCACTGTGGATTTCTTTAATCCTCTCTCAGGGACGTATTCCATTTCCCTAGAACAGAAGGTGCAGGGGATGAGCCAGGGGACAGATAGCGGGGAGCCTGGGTGTGGCTCTGGTGGCCGCTTGCCCTGCAGGGTCTCCTCCCGCCTGGTGAGAGGCAGCTCTAAAGCAGCTTTGGCTCCTGAGACTTCAGGACATTTCTTCTCACTTGGGGGCCACAGCAGGAGGCCTGGGAGGGCAGCGCCCCTGCTGGCTGGGCCTGGGAGCAGCACTGTCCTCTGTCTGCAGGACTCCTGAGCTGAGGTGGCCATGGCGACAGGGGCAGGAAAGAACCTTCTGTCTGGCCGCTTGGCAGCCTGAAGAGGTTTCCTGCTGGGCTCTCACTCCACAAGGAGAGCCACCTCGGGCTCCTGCTGGGTTCTGGCTCCTGACCCCGCAGCTGCTCCTCCCTGCTGGTTCCTCCCACCCTGGACCTGGAGGCCCCAGTGTTGACTGCAGAACCTTAGCTCCATCCCTCCTTGTCCCTGTGTGTTCAACCCTCGCTGTCTGCTGAGCACCTTAGCTCGCCTCTGCCCACATTTCTTTGTAAAATGTTCCTCAATTAAATATGGAGTGAGATCATCTGGCTTACAGCCTTCAAGGACAGGAAGTAGGAAGAAAGGAGCTGCACAGGACCTAGGAGACTGGGCGCCAACACAACTGTGCAGGCCAAGGGCCCTAGGCCGCCTCCGAACCCCTCACATGCGGAGGAGGCACCTGAGCCCAGAAGCCCAGAGCCTCCCAAGTCACACAAGTCAGGATGGAGACCCAGGTTCCCACCCAGGCCCACAGCTCGCTCGGTGTGACTCCCCCAGGTCATCAGGAGCCAGGAAGGGGCTGGTGCAGGGATGTCGTCCCCGGCTCCCCTCCCCCTCCCAGGCTTCAGGAGCTCAGTCTGGGAGACAGAGTCAGGAGGAGTCCAGTCCCCTGTGGGCCTAGAAGCAGTTTCCGTGCTTGGGCACCTCCCAGGCTCCTGTTGGGACAACCCCACCCCCAGGAAGCTCCCGTCTGATGGGGACAAAAGAAACAGAGAGACATGCAAACACGTAAATCATTGGTGAGAACACACCAGGACAGGAGAGAGTGGCTGGGCCCTGGCTGGTTTCGCTCAGTGGATAGAGTGTCAGCCTGCAGACTGGAGGGTCTCGGGTCTGATTCCAGCAAAGGCACAAGCCTGGGTTGCGGGCTTGATCCCCTGTGTGGGGTGTGCAGGAGGCAGCCGATCAATGATTCTCTCTCATCATTGAACTTTCTATCTTTCTCTCCCTCACCGTTCTCTCTGAATTCAATAAAAATATATATATTTAAAACAGAACACTTGGAATTTGGGTTGGCTTCACCAAGGAAGGCTTCCTGGAAGAGGCTGAGATGTGAGGAGAAGGAGCTGTTTTAACAGCTTAGGAGAGGATCAGAGCCCAGGGAGGGCCTGGAGCTGGCGAGGGAGAGGGCACAGGGGGAGGTGCCTCCGTGAGTTGTCTGAACCCTCACACAGGCTCACTGGTGAACATGGGGGCGTGTATGCACACACTCACGCCTACATGCACACTCATCCATGCATACTCATAACCACATGTCACATCCCAGGTGTAAGCACACATAAGCCTTCTCAGACCTCCGTGCACACACATGGATATGCAACATGCATTCTTGTTCGCATACATGCAGTCAGATACAGACCTATAGTGGGGCCAACTCAGCCTTTTCTGGAGTTCAAATGTGCTTGCCTCTGCACATCGGAAGGGGCCTGCATTGCCCTAGTCAAACGTGGGTCCCCAGCAGCTGTGTCACCTGTCAAATGTCCCAGCCCCACTGAATGGGCTCCATCCACAGCCCCTGCACCAGGTCCCACGGGGTTGACGGGAATGTCTTTTATGCTGTGCACGTACCGGTCACTGGATGCAAGCTGCCCCAGCAAATGGGGTGACCTTGAGAGAGGAGGTTCCCTTCAGCCAAGAGCACTCACAGGGGGAGGGGCTCAGCTGGGAGCTGTCAGTGGCCCGCACTCCCCAAGCCTGCTGGGGGGGTAAAGGGCTTGTTGGCAGCCCTGGCACAGATGCCCACTCCCCTCCCCCGCAGGCTCCCTGAGTCCCTGGGCTGCAGCCATGCTCCTCCATTGGGTTCTCCTGGGCCCTGGGCCTCGTGGCCCCTCCCACAGCACCCACCTCCCTGCCTGGGTGCTGACAGCTCCAGGTGTCAGGCCCCTACACCCTCTTTCCCTCTCCTTCTCACCCTCCATTCCTTGGTGAGTCCGTCTCTGAACACAGGGAGCTGAGGAATGGGGAGCGGGTAGGACAGGCCCTCTGCTTGCCATCCTCTGTGACCTAGATCAGTGGGCCAGGGGCTGACAGGCAAGGCTGGGCTGTGGCTTTGTTACCTGCAGGCTCTGTGGGTGGCGGTGGCTTTCCACGTTCTACTGACAGAGCGCCCTTCTCGCTCCCCCAGTCCTCTGGTGACAGTGCCCTCTCCTCCTCACACAGACACCTGGCACGTGTGTGAGCGGAGGCCTGTGGGTCCTGGTGAACCCTCATCCTTCCTTCCCAGGAAAGGTATGGGCCATGGGACCCTGGATCAGAGAGGGAGGCCGCCCCCCTGGACTCTGGCTGTATTTCATCTGTGATGCACATGTGTTTCCACACTTTAATATCCCCAAAGCTGTGACATGTGTGTCCTCGGGTCCTGCATATATGCATTCAAGGTCTTTGGTTGATTAGCCCCACCCACCCTGCATCCCCGCCTTCCCACTGAGATTCCCCACTCTGCTCCATGCTCCCATGTGTCGGCATCCACTCTGTTCATCAGTTTATTTTGTTACCTTAGTTTCCATATATGAGTGAGATCATGGGATACTTGTCTTTCTCTGACTGACTTATTTCACTCAGCATGATACTCTCCAGGTCCCTCCATGCTGTCTCAAAGTGTAATAGATTCTTCTCTTTTACTTCTGCACGGTATTCCATGGTGTAAAAGTATCATGGCTTTTTATCCACTCGTCTGCTGATGGGCACTTGGGCTGTTTCCAGATCTTAGCTATTGTAATTTGTGCTGCTATGAACACAGGGGTACATACATTCTTTCTGACTGGTGATTTGCGATTCTCAGGATATATTCCTAGAAGTGGGATCACTGGGTCAAATGGCAGTTCCCTCTTTAATTTTTTGGAGAAACTCCATACTGTTTTAAATAATGGCTGCACCAGTCTGCATTCCCACCACCAGTGAACTAGGGTTCCCTTTTCTCCACATCCTCGCCAGCACTTGTTATTTATTGATTTGCTGATGGTAGCCATTCTGACAGGTGTGAGGTGGTACCTCATTGTCGTTGTAATTTGCGTCTCTCTGATGACCAATGACTTTGAGCACTTTTTGATATGACTCTTGGCCATCTGTATGTCCCCTTTGGAGAAGAGTCTATTTAGGTCCTTTGCCCATGTTTAAATTGGATTGTAGGAGCTTACATTCTAAAAGAAAAACACACACCTCTTTTACATGGTGTTTCTGTTTGCGGTTTGGGGGGACTGAGGAAATGGTCTGCAGGGCGAGCTTTGGATACACCTCAGCCCCATTGTTTAAGGGAGAGAAGAAGAGGAAGGCTTTAAAGGCAGCCAAAGGCAGACATGCTGGGTAGGTACAGCTCCCAGGGAGGGAACACAATCCCACCCAGGCAGGGATTTGCTGCAGTAAATAGGACGGGGGTGGGGGGGAGAGGGGGGCAGTGAGGGGTGCAGGGAATCCTTAGACACAGTGGAGCCAGAAGGATCCTGTGGCCTTTTTCCCAAGCGCTGGCCCACCAGGCAGGACGGCTGTGACAGGACACAGGGCTAAGAGGGGATCCTGTGACCTGACAAGCAGGAAGAAGAAAGGACCAAAGTTGAAGGCAGGCTACCAGGATCAAGAAACTCTTGAAAGCAAAGTGGCTGGAGGCACAGAACCAATGGTGAATTCTACCCAGTGTCAGGTGCGCCAAGAGCATTTCGGCTTCTGAAGTTAGAAAATACCATGTACTACGATTTCATTTATTTATTTATTCATTTATTTATTTATTTGTTAATCCTCACCCGAGGATATTTTCCCATTGATTTTTAGAGAGAGTGGATAAGAGAGGGAAAGACAGAGAGAGAAACATCAATGTGAGAGAAACACATCAATTGGTTGCCTCCTGCAGGAACCCTGTCCTGGGCCAGGGCCAGGGAGGAGCTTGCAACCAAGGTACATGCCCTTGACTGGAATTGAACCCGGACCCTTTGGTCTGCAGGCTGGCGCTATACTAGTATTTGCTGAGCCATACTGGCTAGGGCTTTTAAGGTTTTTATTTTGTGTGTGTGTTTTTAATACTACAATTTTATATGGACCACACTACTTTTTTC